GTGGGGGTGGGGGTGGGGAGGGAGGCGCCTAAGTCTTCTGGCTTGGGTGAAGGGTGGACAGTAGCCTTGTTACTGAGATGACTAGCCAGGAGATGGGGCTGTTTGAGGTGTCCAGTATAGTGGGCATGCTAGAGTGTAAAGAGCCCGTGCCATTCCCAGAGACGTGCCGGAAGCGGCTGAAGCCACAGGTGCGGACGTGCGGTGGTCCGGAGAGCGGGTGTGATAGAGTGAGCCTAGGATGCTGGTTTAGACGCCTCCGGCCCTGCCCGGCCCACGGCCCCGGCTCCCGCCTGGAGGGGGCGGTACCTGTAGTGCGCAGGAAACTGCCACCTCAGCAGCAGCAGGCCCAGGAGGGCGCTGAGGCCCAGCACCAAGAGCAGAGCGGTCACCAAGGAGATCCAGGCTAGGGGACAAAAACGGTCAGACCTCGGCTGACCTTGACCAGAGCCTTGCCCCCACATCCAACACCCCTACCCACCCTGCCCTGGCTCCGCCCCTTGCCGCCCCTGGGCACTGCACACAACAGCTCGCCGCGGACGGGTGTGCTCAGAGCCCCGCCCCTCGCCCGGCACCCCGCCCCTCGCGCAGCCGCAGTGCCGCTCTGCCCCAGCCGGCCCTCACCGGTCTCGGAGGCGGTCTCCACCTTCGCTGGGTCGGACCAGGCGCTCCAGGGGCCTTGCAAGGTGGGGCCATTGAGCCTGGCGCGCAGCTGTAAACGGTAGCGAGACCGCGGGCGCAGCTCCAGGGTCCCTCCCAGGGCCCCGAGCGGCGGCTCCAGCACCTGCGCAGAGAAGAAGCGTGCGGTGGCTGGGTGTCGGGGCCTCGAGAGCCCGGCATCTGCTTGGCCGAAGTCTTAGCGCTTAGGATTCCCGGGCGATCGGGAATCCCCACCAAGAGCCTCACCGTCAGAAACAAGCAGGATAGAGCTCCCTGACGGGGCCTCGCACGGCCGCACAGACCGCAGCTTCACAGAGAGCCACGCATCCTGACGCGTCCCTTCGGCAGAGAGCCCGGTACACGTGCCCACAGTCGGCGACACGCGGAGGCCCTGCCTGGCGCTCTCACTACCGCTCCAGGTCGGGCGATGGAGACCCCGAGACACTCTCAAATACGCAGAGCCACACGGACCAGGCCACGAGTAATACGCATGCCACAGAGGGTGTCAGACTTGTGCTAGGTGCATCGTGCATACAAGCAGGGAGACTGAGCGAACATTTATGAACTGCTTGTGATGTGCCAAACATTGGGCTAGCGCTGGGGAAAAAGATAAACAAAACACGGTCTCTCGAGTGTCTAACGAAGGAGGCATCCAAACAAGTAAATACAGTAATTACAACAATTAATTAGTGCAAGACACCATAGAAGCACAAAGAAGCATTTAATGCTGCTTAAACTCCTTGGCTGGGGGGCTGCGTGGTCAAACATGAGGCTAAGGCAGTCCTAGAGGCATTTGAGGACTATTAGTGCCTTTTTGTACTCAACTTACTTGTTGATATCTAGGGGAAGGGATAAGGGGAAAGGCAGAGGAGTTGGGGATGATTCCAGGCTTGGGTACTGGGTAAGTGGTGGTGCCTTTGTCAGAGAGAGGGAACAGAGGAGAAGTAAGTTTGAGGAAGAGATATGGTGTGGTTCCTTTCATAAAGTTCAACAAACCGTGTGTGTGTGTGTGTGTGTGTGTGTGTGTGTGTGTGACTGTAGGGTGCAAAGGGAGTTTCTTGAGTGCTGGAAATAATTTATATCTTGATCATAGTAATGTTTACATAGGTGTATACACATGTACAAATTAATTGTGTATTAAGATTTGTACACTATTATATGTAAGTTATATCTCAATAAAAATAGAATAAATTTGGGGAGGAAGAAGAGTTCAGTTTTGCATACATTGAGTGTGAAATGTCTGGGGGTGAGAGGGTTTTGTTAGAGCTGTCTGGTAAGAAGTTGTATATACATGTGGTAAATAAGAATAAAAGTAGGCAAAGAAACTAATAGTTAACTAATGTAAATTGGGAATCTTTTATAGGCCAGGCAGTATGGCATTTATATTTAGTTTTTACTATAACTCTGTAAGGTAGATAGCTTTATCCCCATTTCACCAATGAGGAAACAGAGACTTCAGAAGTTTAGGTAATTTGCCTGTGGCTTGTAAGTTCCTTTCCATATGGGGGTTGGAATGGTAAAATTGAGATCATAAATATAAAGAATAGTCATTAAAACCATGGAGTTGAAGAACTCACCTAGGGAGAACAAATATATTTATTTAAAGAAAAGAGCCTAGGATGGAACTCTAGAAAGCACAACATATTATAGAAAGGTGGAAGAGGAAAAGCCAGGAAAGGAGAGTGAGATAGTCCAATGAGGTAGGAAGAAAATCAGGGGAGACATATCCCAAAGGCACAGGGAAGAAAAACTTTTAAGTGGGAGTAGGCAGCATAGTCAGATGCCCAAGAGAGATTACAGTACCAATTGAATCAGATAAACAGAGATACACAAGCCCAAACATAGATACATGGACACCTTCGCTCCTAATAATAGACATGGTAAACCTCAGGAATACCTTGTGTGGTGAGGTCTGTGGGCATTTGTCACTTGACCATACCTTCCAGTCCTGATGACCTTCTCCTGTGTAACGGAGCTGATAGCAGGTCTCTTGGGTGGCCCAGGATGATGGGTGCTGCCATTCCAATTCCAGCTGCCCACTGGAGATCTCCCTCCAGTTCAAGTTTGGGGTAGGGATGAGCACTACAGGGATGTCAGCAAGGACTGGCTTGAGCCCTTCTGTGCATGAGGCATCATGCCACCAGGGCCATGGGTCAGAAGTTGGGGATCCTGGGCATAGGGTCAGATTGGGAGGGGGTGGGAACTGGGGGAGGAATGGAGAAGAAAGTTCTTACCAGCCTGGTGGATCCAGAAAGGGGAGCCCAAGTAGCTGTGAACAACACCTTGGGCTGAGGTCACCTCCACAAGGATGTGAATAACACTGTCATTTTGTGACTTGAACTGGCAGCGAGAGAACTGGAGGGTCTGTAATCCTGGATTTGGTTTCTTCTCTTCACACTTCTCCCAGATGGGGTCCCTAAGAACCAGTCCCATAGAGCCATTGAATCAAGCCTGTCCCAGAGACTAATCCCAATACTCCCCATCCCACAGGAACTATGGTTTGCATGGATTATAATCTAACTCCTCCCCTGGATGGGCCTCCAGGGCTTTCCCTCTGGCTTCATGCCTTGATGTTTTGTTCTCTGAAGTCTGCATTGGTGTCCCACCTCTTCCCCTCAAGAAAAGAGCTGGCATGATATGTGAAAATAGCACAGGCTGTAGAGCTTGGGTCTTGATTTACTGGTGTATAATTTTGGGCCAATTACTTGATTTCTCTCTGCTCTAGTTTCTTTCCATTTGTAAAATAGGTTAATGATACCTACCTCACAGGATTGTTTCAAAGCTTAAAGAGGCTTCATCTTTCTGGAGGAAAAAAATCCTTATGTTTTTAATTTGTTCTCATACAGCAGCCTTCTTACTCACCCCTACATGATATTTTGCTATTAGATTATTACAGCCTAACTGGCATTTCTGCCTCCATTTTCACCACTGCCTTCAATTTGTTCTCCATATAGCTACCAAAATTTGCTTCCAAAAACGTTAATCTGATGATGTCCAGAATATATCACCAATCTATTTATTTTGATCTTTACCACTGTCACATTAGATGAAACCACCATTATCTCTTGCCTGGATTAAGACAAATTTTTAACTGGTGATCCTGCTTCTGCTCTAATTTATAATTTCACAGAGAAATATATCTTTTAAAAATGTAAATCAGGGGCCGGCCCGGTGGCGCACTGCTACAGTGCGCCGCTTGAGAGCGCGGCGGCACTCCCGCCGAGGGTTCGGATCCCACATACAGACCGGTTCCCGCTGAGCGAGGTGTAGGCACAACACCAGGGTTGCGATCCCGTTGCTGGTCCTGGTCCGGTACGGGCGCGACACTGAGGGTTGCGATCCGTTGCCGGACACAAAAAAAGACAAAAAGGAAAAAAAAAAAAATGTAAATCATATCATGTCTCTCTTCTGCTTAAATCCCATCAATGGTTCCTCATCCCACTTTGGAATAAAATCCAAACTTTATGCCAGGGCCTATAGGACTTTGTATGATTTGGTTCCTCTTTACCTTGTCATTCCCATCTCCTGTGATTCTGAAGGCAGCTTATCACCTTTCATCCACAGGGGCCTTCTTTCTGTCTCACAAATATGCCAATGCACTGTCTTTGCGCTTCACCTTTGCCTTGGATTGCTGACTCTAAGTCTTTATGTGACTCATTCCTTCTTGCCTCTTAGATCTCACTCACCTATCACCTCTCTGATGCGGCTTTTTCTGACCACTCAGTCTAAATTAGCACCTCTGCCCCTTAGTCTCTATCATGTAACTTTGTTCTTTTATTACTTTACTTGTCTCCCCTTTCCCCTGCCCCCAACTAAAATGTATGCCCCCCCAATGCTAGAACCTTTTCTGTTTTATTTGTCATTCTTTCCTCAGTGCCTGGAACATAGTTACCCTCAATAATTTTTTTTTTAATTTATTTTTTGAATTGAAACGTAATTGTTTTTTATTTATTTTTATTTATTTTTATTTTTTTAAAGATGACCAGTAAGGGGATCTTAACCCTTGACTTGGTGTTGTCAGCACCACACTCACCCAGTGAGCGAACCGGCCATCCTTATATGGGATCCGAACCCATGGCCTTGGTGTTATCAGCACCGCACTCTACCAAGTGAGCCACGGGCTGGCCCCGAAATGTAATTGTTATACATATTTATGGGGTAGAGGGTTGACTATCAGTATTTGTGTACAGTATGTGATGATGAAATCAATATCATTAGCATGTTCATCATTACAAATTATAATTATTCTTTGTGTCCCTTACCCAATCACTCCCTCACCTGCTTCCCCTCCATACCCTCAATAATTGTTTATTGAACAAGTGGATCTTGTCTCCCTCCTGATTATAACCCCTACGTGGCTTGCCATCACTAAAATTATTTATCATGTTATGTTTACCCATTTATTCAACAAATAATTGATACTATGTGCAAGCCATTGTGCTAGGCCCTATGAGTACATAGAAGAATAATCTTCAAGGAGCTCTCATTTCAGTGGAAGAGACAGAAGAACTTGGTATTTTTCTGTGAAGTGCATAGGCTGGCTTGGGAGCATCAAGGAGGAACATCTAACCCAGACTGGGAGTGTCAGGGAACACTTCCTGGATAAGGCAGTGTTTAGACTGAGTCTTGGACTATAAATAGGATAGGCAAAGGGAACAAACTGGCGTCCTGGGCACATGCTTGTGCACAGATAAGAGAGTGTGGTGCTTTGGGGAAAATTCTAAGTGGTGCAGAATGGTTTTGGCATAGAGGGCCTGGTGGTAAATGGTAAATGTGAGATTGCAGATGATATCATGTACGGTCTTGTGCCCTTTCTAAAGAGCTTAAACTTCTAGTAATTGTGGAGGCATTTAAGGATTTTAAAGAGGGAAGTGTCATAATTAGCTTTGTATTTTAGGAAGTTCACTCAAACTGCAGTTTATAGAAAGGATTTGTGAGGGGAAACTAGAAGCAGAGAAATCCACTAGGATGCTATTGTGGTTTTTCATGTGCAAAGTGGTGAGGGTCTGAAAATAGGGTAGTGGCAGTGGGGATAGAGGGAAAGAGATGATTCGAGATATTGAGGAGGTGGAAATGATAAGGCTGTTTCTAACGGGAGTGGAGGGTATAGGAATGGGAGAAGTCCAGGGTGATTTCTATTTTTTAGGCCTGGAAAACTGAGCTGATGATTAGATGGAGGACAATAAGAGGAAGAGCACGGTTGGGTAGAGGAAATGGTGACTTCACTTTTGCCACCCTTTAATTCATTCATTCTATACTATGGCTATCTGTGCAGTTGTTTAAAAGAATGAGCTACATCTTTTGTGATGATCTCTAAGATATATTTTTAGGTAAAAAGGAGAATTACAAATTATGTATAATGTGATCCAATCTATATTAGAAAATTAAGTATTGTACACTGACATATGTAAATACATAGAACAACTGGAAGAATACATTAAAACTGTTAATAGTTTTTTTTCTATTATTCATTCATTCAGAAATTTTTTACTGAGCACCTACTATGTTCCAGGCACTGTGATAGGTGAGAATATATTGGTGAGTAAAAACAGACATTGACTTTGCCCTCATGGATCATGTATTGTCAAGATCAGCCTTTTTCTTTTTCTTCCTTTTTGTCTTTTTTACTGACCGGTAACGGGATCGCAACCCTTGGTGTCGTGCCCGTACTGGGTACCGGCAATGGTATCACAACCCTCGGTGTTGCGCCTGCACTGCGCTCAGCCAGTGAGCGGGAACCAGTCTCCACATGGGATCCGAACCCTCGGTGGGAGCGCCGCTGCGCTCCCAAGCGGCGCACTCTCCAGTGCGCCACCAGGCCGGCCCATCTTTTTTTTTTTTTTTAAAGATGACCAGTAAGGGGATCTTAACCCTTGACTTGGTGTTGTCAGCACCACGCTCTTCCAAGTGAGCCACAGGCCGGCCCAAGATCAGCCTTTTTCAACTGGAGTTCTGAGAGAGAATTCTATTGACAACCAAGTAACCACATAAAGTGTAAATGTAAATGTAACTATGATAAGTACTTAAGAAGGAGAGGTACATGATATAATAAAAATGTATAATAGTGCTATTGGATCTAATAAGGAAGGTCAGGGGAGGGTTCCCTGAGGAACTGAAACTTGAGTTGAGTTCTGAAGGATAAGTAGAAGTTAAGTAAAGACAAGAGGGCTGGGAAAACAGTACGTGCAAAGACCTAGAGGGCCGGCCCGTGGCTCACTCGGGAGAGTGCGGTGCTGATAACACCAAGGCCCCGGGTTCGGATCCCACATAGGGATGGCCGGTTCGCTCACTGGCTGAGCGTGGTGCTGACAACACCAAGTCAAGGGTTAAGATCCCCTTACTGGTCATCTTTAAAAAAAAAAAAAAAAAAACAAAGACCTAGAGGCAGGAGGGAATATGGCAGATATAAGGAAACCAAAGAAAGCTGGTGCTGGAACAGAGAGCAAAGGGCGGTATCGCAAAAGGTGAAGCTGAATGCATAGGTAGGTGCTGAGTCTTCTAGAACTTTTTAAGTCCATGATAGAGTTCTTTTCTTTATCTAAGATCAGTGGGAAGCTATTGAAGATTTTTAAGCAGGGAGTGTTGTGTTCATTTCTGCACTCTTAAAAGATCAGCTCCTACATGAACGATAATTTGGATTCAGGAGGTGATCAATTACTAGGTCTTTTCAGTAGCCCACGTGAGCAATGATGATGGGTTGTGCAAGGTAAGGGCAGTGATAGACAAAGTGGACCGATTTTAGAGATAATTAATAGGTAAAATCAACAAAACTTGGTTATAGATTGGATGTAAAGAGGGTGAAGGATTGGTGAAGGGTCTGGTGGAATTCCTTGAAGGCCAGGCTAAGTTTTGCATGGATTTGATAAATAACAGGAAATTGCAGTTCCTCTCTGAGTAGGGGAAGGCTGTGCAAAGTTAAAGTTTCACAAACTTCATGCAAAGTTTGAGCATAACAAAGGTTACTCTCTCAGCAGCCTGGGGATAAACTGGAGGTGAATGAGACTATAGGCTGTTGCAGTGGTCCAGGTGACATGATGAAGGGCGAACTAAACCAAAGCATTTCTGGTGGGAATGGAGAGAGGTTGAGAAGATAAAACACCCATTGGAGGAGGAGAGGATAGATAATAGAGCATGGAGGCTGTTTGGTTTTGGGACAAGGGAGGAGAGTGAAGAGGACCAAGAACATCTCTTCCTTTTTGCAAGATTGTGCCTGTCTCGCATGACATAAAACTCAATCAGCATTTTGACTCTCACCTTTCTCTGGGGCAGCACCGTGCCCTGCTGTGGTAGAAGAAGCCTTGGGAGCTAGCATGGTCCTGTTTCTGCCACTGACAGGTAACATTCTTCAAGTCCAGGGTAAAGCATTGCAATCCAATTGCCACTGAGGTCAAAGAGGTAAGTCCCATCAGGGCCCATGTGCTCCTACTCTATAGGGTATCTAGATTATTTTCAAATGCATAACTTAGAACATTTACTCCTATTCTCTCTTCTGTCTGTGAATATAGTTCATCCTTCCCAATGTCAAGTTTAAGGTCATCAGGAAGGACCCTGCTTCTCTGAGAGCCTCCATATCCAGCCAAGCCTCCCTAGAGATTTTTTTTTTTTTTGTGGCTATCTGGTACAGGAATCTGAACCCATGACCTTAGTGTTATAAAGCTGTGCTCCCTAGAGATCTTTTTAAAAAATCTCTTCATCTCCCCATTTCTTTGTTGGCTTACCTGCATCCCTAGGCAGGTCTGTAGTCACAGGGAAGGACCAGGATCCCCAGGAGCCACGAAGGGAGACCCCATCAGGTTGGCTACGCAGCTGGAGCCAGTAGGAGTTGCCAGGCTGGAGCCCTGAGATGAGGCAGCTTCCACCCATCACTGTCAGAGATGGAGCCTTGGGAGACAAACCCCAGCCTCAGAATCTAGGCCTGCCTCTCAGCCAAGACAGCCTCCATCCCTTATTTTGAAGCTCCACAGCAACCCTGTGTAGAGGAGCTAAGCTCCTTACTGGATCAACAAGCACGCAGACTATGGGACAGGTTGGTGGGTTTCAGGTGGTATTCAGGGCTTTTTAGGGAAATGGCCATTAATTTGGAGGCCTGAAAGCCCTCAATTTTATCAGTGAGAATAACGCAAAGTAGGTGAACCCTAAATAGACATAGCTCCTAAGGGCTAATCAGAGCCTATGCTAACTCCCCAAGGATCAACCCAGTCTGGAATCTACAAAGCATGGCCTGTCCTTTCCTGGGGCAAAAATGGGGGTAGGGGATAGGAAGTGGAGCAGAAGAAGGCCAAAATACTTCTCTAGTTGGGAAGGTCTGCTTTGCTCCATCCTGTTGAGGCACTGTGTGCTGAATACATGGAGGCTGGTCCAGAGTAGGGGCTGAGTTTGGCCTCCGTAGAGCGGGGCAGCAGGTTTCTGTGGAGATCAGCTGCATGACTGTGGGACCAGTGGAGTTCTTGGGATCCTTGGGGCCATAGCGGAGCTCGTACCTCAGGAAATCATTGATTTCAGGAGCTGGGGCCTCCCAGCTGAACTGAAGTTCCCCTGGCTGGCTGCCACCTTTGGCCTTGATGATATTGGGAGGAGCTGGTAGTCCTGAGGGCAAGACAGGGCACGTTAGAACTCTCTGGGTGCATAGTCTGTGGTTCAACCCATGAATGGTAGAAAGTGGTGCTGGAGGCTGAATTGGGGACAGCCTATGGTTCAAAAAGATCACAGACCATCATTCTTCTGTAGGGCACACTGGGAAGGCCTCTTATCCTGTTTTCCTTTCCTCATAAGAACAGTGACCTCCTTACAGTATATGGTTTGTTAGACTCAGTGCTCCTCGAAAGCAGGGATCTCTTTTCGTGTCTGTATCCTCATCAGTGGGAGGACCAGGGCATCCCTGTTGTAAAATGATTTGTAGGATAAGTCTAGCTCTGGATGCCAAGGTTAGGAGAAATGATACTGGGGACTCGAGGTGCCTCTGGAGGTGTGATAAAGGGGGCATCTATGCTGTCCTGAAAAAGCACAAATGAGTCTGATTCTTGGAGCTGGACTGGGGGCAGCAAATAGAGGGGGAAGGTGACAGGAGGAAAGCCCTTACCCACACTGTCCACAAAGAGCACTCGCTGAGTCTGAGTCTGGTTCAGGAACACATTCTTCACCCAGAGGTGCAGTGGAAAGAAGAGGCGTACTTCATCCTGGGCTGGAAACTGGCACACATATCGGGTTCCGAAGGGGGGCATGCTCTGGGAGCTCAGGGGGCAGGCACGGGGCTTCTCCCTGTTGGCATAGGAGAGGTCCTACCTACACCATGCTCAGCCCTGAAGACCCAGGTCTGTTGCCCAGCTTGTTTCCATTACTGCCATTTTTCCTCTCCCTGCTTGGGATAGGTGGGATTAGGGTTACATAGGGGCTTGAACTGGGGCCCACATACATCCAAAGCACCTCTGTTTATAAAGTAGTGACTTAGAGCATGTATTTGGAGGAGTCCTCTAATAGAGCCAATGACAGGGAAGCTACTAGAGTGGGACTTACCTGAGCCAAGTACAGGGACAGATATATGGGGAGTAGGATACAGCCCAGCACCTACCCTGAGTAGGCGTAGAGCAGCTGGTAGGTGCCATTGGGCTCTGCCTCTTCCTCATCCCAGAAGCAAGTGAGGTCTTCAAATGTTCGGGAGAAACAGTTCAGGGTCTCTGAGTCTGAGGCCAGCAAGGAGACATCTGAGGAACAGCTGGTGCATTGGGCTCTGCGTCCTCCCATGCACGTTTATGGACAAGAGTAGGGGACCAACAGGAGCCTCCTACTACATCCCCTCCCAGGGCTCCCTCTTCCTGGGCATAGGTGATCTCCACCTTCTATACACCTCACCTTGGCTGGTGACTTGTGCCAGGGATTGGGGGGCCAGGAGGAAGCAGGAGGTAACCATGAAGAGGGCCCAGGAGGGCATCTTCTCCGGCACTGTGTGCCTGCCTTAGCCCATCCTCCCTTCAGGAAGCCGGGCCCCAATCCCCTCCCGGGCCAGCCCCTCAGGTTCCTGTCAGATACAGCCCCACGTCCTGTCCCTGTCCCTGCCCCTCTGGGGCCCATCCAGACCACACTGGGGCCAGGGGCCAGGGGAGGGGGAGTGGGCAGGAGGGTAGGAGGAATTTGAAAGAGAGGACATAGGCCTTTTGGTGGGAGGGAGATGGGGGTTATATATTTGACTGAGCACCAAAAGGAGAATAAGCCTCCGTGTGTGTCTATGTCAGCTGTTATAGAAGGGTACAATCTCATAAAGAATAGCGACCTCGGGCCGGCCCGGTGGCGCACTGCTACAGTGCGCCGCTTGGGAGTGCAGTGGCACTCCCGCCGAGGGTTCAGATCCCACATGCAGACCGGTTCCCGCTCACTGGCTGAGCGAGGTGTGGGAGCAATGCCGAGGGTTGCGATCCGTTGCCAGACACGAAAAAAGACAAAAAGGAAAAAAAAAAAAAAAAAGAATAGCGACCTGTACTGACCACTCACTACGCTGCCAAGTGTTAAGCACTTTATATCTATTGACTCAGACAATCCTCACAATAGTCTTATTTCCCTTATAGACATGACGAAACTGAGGTGCAGGGAAGTTAAAGATTTTCCCAAGGTCATATTACTTGTTAAGAGGTAAAGCTCAGGAGGCCAACCCTCAGAACCCACGCCCTTAATGACCATGCCATGCTCTTAGAAGGTGTGACCTGCCGAGGAACGTCTGCTTCACAATCATGGCAAAATGGTGGGGATTTCCACTTTCACAGGGTTCATGACTCTATGCATAAATAACATATTTTCCCTGACCAGACATGCCCCCTCCATTGTGGGTGGCCACCCTAGTCCCTTGCTAGTCAAAGTGTGGTCTGTAGACCAGCAGCAACAGCATTACCTGGGAGCCTGTTAGAAATGCAGAATCTTAGGCCTCACCCCAGACCTACTAAAACTGAATCTGCATTGTACCAAAATCCCCAGATGATTCAAATACACATCAAAGTTTGAGACGCGATGGTCTTCAGTACTTTTATTTGGTCTGCTCAGGATCAGGGGATGTTTAGTCTCGGCTCTTCAGCTCGTGCCCATCTTCTTCAAATGTGGGTGTGAATAGTGGGTGTGGTCCCTTCACTGAACTCCCAGGCCTCTCCTGGGAGTGCTGTAACCGTAGGTGATTTTGTGCTGATTCTTGTGGGAGCAGGGATGGAGGGAGGGGAAGAAGGGAGGAGAGAGGGTGCATAGCCACATGAACCCCCACATTTAGCCCCTCAGGCCTGCACTGGCTTCACAGACTAGGTGTCCTCAACATCACCTGTGTCTCTTCCTCCTTCTAAGTTAATTTTACTGACAGAGAATTGTGGAAGATGGATGGGGCAGGGTGGGGACAGATGAAAATACTTCAGCTCTCCTGTGAAGTCTTGGTTTCTCTGTCATCATTTCTGTGCAAGCAGTCCCTGAGCCAGGTTTGTCCTTACCTCTACCTAGCTCTCAGGTTACAGGGACAATGTAATGACTTTGGACGCCTCCCCAGTCCCCATTCAAGGGCTACCCAAACGTCTGCCAGATCAAGTGAGAGGGGAAACACTTTAATATTCATGTAATCCCATGGCTTTGGATGCTATGTGTATGCTGATGACTTTGAAGTTAATATCTCTAGCTGTTACTTCTCCCCTGGGCTCCAGATTTTTTTTTTTTTTTTTTTTT